TGTCTTTAGATAAAGGTTTATTCTCAACAAAGGAGCGCCAAGCATTTCAGGCAGAGGTTCTTCGTCTTGCGCACAGTGAGATGAAGGACCCTGTGCCCTTGGATGTTTCATCACTGATTACATTTTCTGGAAATCCTGGACCTCCCTTGGAGTTATGTGATGGGGATCCTGGTATTCTCTCTGTAACTGTTTGGAGTGGCTTTCCTGATGATATAACTCTTGATTCACTTAACCTCACTTTGACTGCTACATTTAATGCTGACGAGGGTGCTAAGGTACAATTTTCTTGGACATTGATAGTTGTGACTTGATTCTATAGAGCAGATATGATATGTACAGAATTCTTCACAACTCAAGAAACCCTCTCACATTTCAGGCATTAAGGAGCTCTACTGCCACCATACTGAAGCCTGGTAGGAATACCATTACCCTTGCTTTACCTCCTCAAAAACCAGGTTCCTATGTCTTGGGGGTTCTTACTGGGCAGATTGGTCAGTTGAGATTTAGATCTCATAGTTTTTCGAAGGTTGGCCCAGTGGACAGTGATGATTTCATGAGTTATGAAAAGCCCACTAGACCTATACTCAAGGTATTGGTTTTGTGTTTCATACAAGGATCATGTGTTCTGGTCATTCCATTTGGTTAAATAGGTGCATTGTATTGCTTATCTAATAAAGCCCTTCTTTCTTAGGTTTTCAAACCAAGACCACTAGTTGATCTTGCAGAAGCTATTTCATCTGCTTTACTGATAAATGAAACTCAGTGGGTTGGGGTTATAGTACGGCCTATTGACTACTCTCTCAAAGGTGCTGTCTTGTATATTGATACTGGTCCAGGTCTGAATATTGAAGAGTCGCATGTCATTGAGATGGAGACCTGTGTCAATATATCACAGAGTAGTGCTGAAATGACAAACTCTAATGGCACACAAAAGGATTGTTCTTCAGCTTCTAAAAAAGAATTTCAGCAGTTAAAACTTCAAGATGGTAGAATAGAGTTTCCTGCTTGGGCAAGTGATGTAAATTCTGTTCTCTGGATTCCTGTTCGTGCAATCAGTGACAGGCTTCCTAGAGGGTCATCCTCAGGTGATAATAATGATTTGCCTATAAATTTTTGCATGTATACTTTCTGTTGTAACTGATGATGTTCCAGTCTTATAATATTTTTCCTTTCGTGGCAGTCACCTCTCAGAAACAAAGCAATCTAGATGGCATGAGGACAATTGCTTTGAAACTTGAATTTGGAGTATCCCACAACCAGATATTTGAAAGGCATTGTCATTTTCCATCACTTCTCTGATTATACTGCTGATAATAAGTTATTTTATGTTTTTGTTTTTCTCATTCCCTCACCTATAAAAAGTATAAAAGATGTTATTTAATCATCCAAACAATCATATTGCCTTGATCTGCAGAACTGTAGCAGTACATTTCACTGATCCTTTCCATGTGAGCACACGTGTTGCAGACAAGTGTAATGATGGTACTCTGCTGTTGCAGGTATGCTGCAAATATGTTAAGCTAGGATATTTTTTACCCACCAAACTGATGCATTCCCAAACTGTTGACATTTTGAGGGAGACCATCTTAGCCAGTTCTTATTTCATGCTATGATAGAATTATAAATATCACAAATTATATTTATTATGTTCCTTTTCAATTTCATTTGAATTTCAGAATAGTTTGTGTTGCTTCCAGGTGATACTGCATTCCCAAGTGAAGGCTACGTTGACCATATATGATGCCTGGCTTGAACTTCAAGATGGATTTATTCATACTGGACAAGGAACTGGAAGACCAACTTCAAGCTTCTTCCCACTCATGATTTCTCCAACCTCTAGAGCAGGAATCATGTTCAGTATTAGCTTGGGAAAAGTAATTGACAAAGGTATAGATCTTTTTATTGTATTTAAAAAGAATTTCTTGTACTCATAGCTGGTCCTTAGTCAAACATACACCTCATTCATTCACAAAGCATGCTATTATGTTGAAACTGTGCATCGAGCTTTTAATGTTATTAGAAGAGTGTCTTGCTTAGTCATATTTACTCATGGAGAATTTTCCTGTTTTCTAGAAAACAGAGAAATCAGGTTTACTGATTATTGTTTATTGAAATGCGTGTTTTCAATTTTCTAGGAAGATTGAAATATACAGTAAGTTTCCAAATTCTCCACTTTAGGAAATTAGGGCCTTGTTTGGTTCATCAGTTAGTTAATCTCTTGACCATTTATCCTTTTAAGGACAATCCAAACAAGGCCCTTGTTTTCAATTTTCAAAAGCTATTAATTTGTGGACGCAATTTTTAGTTTTCTTTGGAAGAATGATTTTAGAACAAAGATGAAAAGCAGATATGGAAATTGGAAAATTGTTTTCTGAAAAGCGCGCACAAGTGTTTTTAATCATTCTATATTCTTTCCCACCTTGCGTTTTCTCCTTGTTTCTTATTTTGTGAAAGAAAGGTAGTCAACTTTTTCTAATGATTCGCCACTGTACACTCTTACAAACCTTTTAATTTCTTTTGTTCAGGGGTAAAGCTGTCCAGGGCTCTTGTCATGGAGCCCTGAATGATTGATGTCAAGATTGAACATTTGAATTGTTTGTATCCCCTAGCTGTGGTTTAGTCAGGATAATGTTGTACTTCTTGGTTTCAATGAAAGATTGAGAAGCGAGGAGCTGAGCAGTGTGGTCAATTTGGTGAATTTAGAAGTAGAGTCGAAGAACATTTGAGCTATTGAAAATATCTATTGTCTTGCTAATGGTGTATTCTCATAGATTTCTGCTGATTCTTTTTAACTTGTTCCTACCCTTCTTAATATTTATAAATTCTCTAAGTTTTAATTTTCCCCTCCTACATTTGGCTCTTGTTGATACATGTTATGTACACACTGCATACTTTCATCCGTTGCTTTTTTGTATTTTCAGTGCATCATGTCTTAAAAATTCTCTTGGATTACAGATGAAGTGGAAGAACTGCAGACAGATAGCATACTAAATATCCGATATGGAATTTATGGTGAGCGAACAAATGGAGCACATCCTCCTGTTTCCATGGATGGCACTGAACCTGAGGATGCCAGGCAGGACTTGCTCTTCAAGAGTGCTATTGTACTGCAGAGACCAGTGCTTGACCCATGCCTGGCTGTTGGTTTTCTTCCTCTTCCTTCAACTGGCCTCAGAGTTGGACAACTCATCACCATGCAGTGGAGAGTTGAAAGATTGAAGGGCCTGGAGGACAATGGAATTTCTGAACACAATGTAAGTCTCGATGGAAATTTAAAATAAGAAGTTCCTGCAACTATCATGGGGTTACAACAACATTTTCTCACGTAGGTGGTATTGTCATGATTATTATATGCTTGTTACTTTCGTTCTTTTTAGTGCAAGTATTAGTCATGGTATTAGTGTTAATATTAGCACTGGATGCGTCACTGGACTAAGCAAATTCATTGTTCTGTTATCTCAGGTATTTGCTTTAGTCATTTCAGTTGGATTGGTATATTACCTGTTCCTTTCCCTGAACTGAGAGGAAAAAGAGCATTGGCATAGTCACTGTTGAATTGGATGTGATTTGTTGCCCTAAATTGCTTATATATTTTTCAAACAAAAGTTGCGAGTATTTATTTATTTATTTATATATTTGGTACAAGTTGCATATATCTCAGACCTTTATTAATACTGTGATTTTTATTTTTGCTTTTCCCGCCTCCTTTTGACATCTCTTCTTTCTGAAGCTCGGAAAGAAAAGCAAATGGATTTTATATTCCCAGTTCAGAATTTTTGCAATTAAAAAACTTGGGCTCGATGAATTTCTGTTTGCATGCTCTTTTAGTCTTTCTTTTACTTTTTTTTTTTCCTTTTTTGCTCACACATCTGTGATGCAAAAATTTTAAAATGGCTTGAACATGTGATTCTACTGTTTGTTGCCAATTCTTTTTTTTTTGGTTTTCTCTGCAATCAGCTTGAAGTTTAGTGTAATGAATACAAACTTTGATGATATCACTGCTGACCTTTGTTTTCTGGGGATCCTGATGTGAGACTTAAGATGTTAAAATCTTGAGAGAATGTCAGGCAGAAAAAAGGAAGCAACCTTGCAATTCTCACATTTGTGCATGTCAGTTAGATGATGTAAATCATGTTGTTCCCTGCAATGAATTCATAAATACTCTCTGCTATTTGTGCAGCAGGGTGAGGTGCTGTATGAAGTCAGTGCAAATTCTGAAAATTGGATGCTTGCGGGGAGAAAGCGCGGACATGTTACTCTCTCAACAATCCAAGGTTCCTAAACTACTTTAGTTCTGTCATCAATTTTTGTTATATGAAATATGTAGTGGCTTACAGGTATCATTAGTGATTTCCCTTTTCCTTCATATTGGACAGGTTCAAGAATAGTCATCTCAGTATTATGTGTGCCGTTGGTAGCTGGTTATGTCCGCCCTCCTCAACTTGGGCTACCAGATGTTGATGAGTCAAATATAAGCTGCAATCCTCCTGGGCCCCATCTGGTCTGTGTCATGCCTCCAGCTCTCAGCTCCTCCTTCTGCATTCCGCCTTGATTGTTATTAATTGATGCATTCCAGTTATTCTGGAAATGGTATTAGTTGATGCATTCCAGTTATTCTGGAAATGGTCGGATTGCCTTTTCAATTCAATCAAATTTCAAACACGGTAATACGTTAAGCATCCAGTTTTGCTTACCCTGAAACTTGTAAATTTGTAAGTTCCTGAAAGTTCGAGAATCAAGAACAGTTAGTTGAGACGGAGTGAATTTTGATAGGGTTAGGCTTTTTTCATTTTTTTTCTTAGTAATGCCGTTTGCTATGTAAAGTCCTTGCTTTTGTATAGTGGAACTTCGTATTCACGTACACCATGCAAATCAAAGCCTGACAGAGTCAACTTTTTATTTCTCGTTAGTTCTCCCTCTCTCTTTTTGATGGAACTATATTAACGACATTTTTTTTTAATTTTCTAGGATACATTGAATTTATACGACTGATATGGAGATTTTGCAGATGTTGCTTTATCTTCGAAACAATCGTCATTTTTGCGCCTTTCGGACAGAGGACAATACACGAATAATAAGTGACAAATACTGTTGTTGACTTCTAGATGGAGATAATGGCTTCTTCCATCTTTTTGTTGATCCCTTGCCATTCGTGAGAAGCTCTTTGCAGCGTCGCTTCCAGTTTTGGAATTGACTTTTAGTGCGTCAAAACAGGCTTCTGTCTCATTCATATTATATCCTTGCCGTCGGTATTCTCCAACCCAGTTGAGCTAAAGACGCTTTTCCCATCCTGCCACTTAAGTATACATGGTTTACAAACCCTCCAATTGACTCTTCTGAGATCAGCACTCCCCCCCTATCTGTTCTTCGTAAAGAGGACCTTTTTACAAGAACAGCATTGTGAAGTGTCAAAAAAAAAAAATTAAAATTGTTGCCAGCCAAAACTGAACGATTTTTTATTTTTATTTTTTTCAGTTTCTAGAATGATCACTTGATGCCTTCACTGTACTTTCTCCGGAGGCTTTGTTCCTTCTCCACATTTGGCTGATTGTCCTTCAGTATCGCTTTAATTTCTCCGAGGCTGCATGCATCTCTTCCCAATTTTATTCGCACCTTCCCTCCAAACTTCAATTCTTTAGGTTTCTGGTGATCATTCTAGGGGAGTGAACTTGGTTGCTTCTCAAATCTCTCTAGACCTGAGATAAAAAAAATGGCGCAAGTGGAAGTGAGGAATGATAAAATGGAAAAACCAATGGAAGGTTGACACTTGGACATACCAACAATGTTGAAACTGAAATGAGACAGATGGGAGGAAGATATCTAGAGATATGAATTACAAGGATACAAGATACAGAATGAGAGCCATACCATGCATATGGTTCGACTGCCGGCCTCCTTCTCCTGCTAATAATACTAAGCCTCCTGAATACCATGCATATGGTAAAACTGCCGGCCTCCTCCTGCTAATAATACTAAGCCTCCTGAAACACACAGAGGGGCTGAAGGACATCCTTGCTGTTGGAATTGCCCCACTCAACTCGTTCCCACCACTCTTTCGGATGTGCTTGGATTCTTCGAAGAGGTGTTTGGCCAATGCCAAGGACCGGATCAAGGAAGGGAATCCTCTTAAGCTCTGGGCAGTTGACCACAAGAATCTCTTGTAGAGAGCCACAGATCACTACCCCATGGAAAATGCTCTTCAGCCCCGGTAAATTGCTTAATTTCAAAGCCCTTAATTTTGAGAGATTGGTAACTGTGTTGCGGTTGCTAATGCTATTGCTATCTTTAACCATAGTGCCTTCTTCTTCCTCCTCCATAGCTATTATCTCCATTTTGTGCCAGTCATCAACTTCAATCACTTCCAAGTTTTTGAGATTTGGCAACAAGTCAAGGGAGAACAGATTCTTCATGCTTGGACATGCACCTATTGTCAAGGACTTAAGATGGGCAAAGGTAGAATTAGATTGCAGTGGCGGTGTAGCAGATCCTTCTCTTGTAATGAGGACAAAGAAGTTCTTCAAAGTTTTAAGGTATAGAGACTCAAGTCTTTCAAATATTTCTGGGGAGGATTCTGACTTTGAAACTAAGCACTCTATCCTGTCACACTCCCACATCACGAAGGACTTTAGTGAAGGTGCATGTTTAAATGGAGAAACATCACACAAACTTCTTGCATCATGGCATCTTCTAATTGACAAAGCTGAAACATCTTCTGGGAGCTCAAGGAACCCTCCTTTTTCACCGATATTGCAATTATTCAGCAAAACTTCCTTATAAAAGACTTCCTCAGGTGTCATATAAAGTAAATAATCCATGGTTGGATCCACGCCTAGTTGTCCTATTAGGAAGAAGTATGTGATTAGAGGTTGCCTCACATCTGGAGATCTGAGGTACTTCTTGAAGTCAGAAAGATCACAGAATTGGTATCTCAAAGTTTCCAAGCTCTTCAAACATGCCATTTCCTCTACTCTTTTGGTCTTGAAAAAGCCCATATCCCGGTTAACGCTGAGGAATTTTAGACAGGAGAGATTAGGCAATATACCAGCAGGCAACTCCTTCAGACTGTTTCCATGAAGATTAAGATACCTGAGATGGTACAGCATATTATCCAAATGATGTCAGTAATTTTATCCTTTCTCACACAAGCTATTTCAGATTCAATGAATTTTCATCCATGTATTTCACTGTCGATACCTGAGATTGGACAGCATTTCCATGCCTTGAGGCAGTTCTTCAAGTGCAGTATAGCGGAGATCCAATTTCCTCAACTCCCTAAGCTTTGCTAATGATGGTATGTGCCTCAGCTTCTCACACCTTCTGAGATATAATGCAGTGATATTCACTAGATCAGAAAAGGAACCTGGCAATTTCTGGATAGCAGTACTTGATAGATTAAGAACCTTGAGCCCTTGCAAATGCTTGAAAAAGGAATCTGCAATCATTTCTAGCTCGATATTTGAGTTTAGAAATAATGTTGAAAGTTTGGGACACATTGGTGAACAACTTGAAGGAATTTCCTTGAGGCGATTTTCCATTAACGAAACTCTCACAAGATCCTCTTTCCACTCATCCTTGCCTGGTAATTCTTTTAGTCGCTCCCTAACTTCAACCATGACTGGGGAGTTCTCTCTGAGTTTCTGGAGAGCCATGTCTCGAATCAAGTCATGCATCTTGAAACATCTGTAGTTTTCTTTTCTTATATAACTTTGCAATAAGCAGGCATTTTCAAGATTGTTAAGCATAGCCTGAACTTTATCAAATTCTGCCTGCCTGCTCTTCATTGGTTGAATTATCCCCTCATCAATCAAATACCCTATCAAGTCCTCTCTATCCATAGTGAAACCCTCTGGAAAGAATGCACAGTATAAGAGGCACTGTTGCAATGCTGAGTCATTCAAGCGCATGTAACTAAATCTCAAAATATGGAATACCTCAGGTTCCATGTCATGTGGCCTAACTTCTGATTGTTTCAATTCTGTCAACGCATTCCTCCACTCATATAAGTCATCCACTCCCCTCATGCTTCCTGCCATTGTTATAATCCCAAGTGGCAGACAAGCACATTCAGCTGCAACCAATTTTGACATCTGTTCAACTTCAGGAGAGAGTGCAGCATCATGCCCAAGTTTTTCCTTGAACAAAGTCCAAGCTTCTTCCTTAGTAAGAAGCTCTACTTTGATTCTCTCTTGGCAACCCATCCGCCTGCAAATTTCCAATGATCGAGTTGTGAGAATCAGCTTGCACATGTTCACTTCAACAGGTATCCCCACCTTTTCTAGATGAAAATGATTCCACAAATCATCTAGAATAAGAACAGATTTTCCCTTTGCAACTAATGCTTTATACAACTTGGCAGCTCTTTTCTTCTCATCATCTTCATATGAAAGATTTAAATTAATAGCTTTGGCAATAAGATACTGCAATTTACTGATGCTAAAATCCTGTGATACAGTAATCCAAAACACATACTTGAAAGAAGTTGGTCTTTGTAGAAGCTGATTATGGATATGCGTTGCCAATGATGATTTACCAACACCGCCCATCCCATAAATGCCAATACTTGAGATTTCATCCTTCATCAACAAAGACCAGATCATCTCCCTATTTTTGTCAAAACCCTGACCTACCACCTCTGTTGTCAGTAATGCTTCTCCTTTAGCTTTATGTGTATAAAGCCCTTCAGAAACCCTACTTTCGTCGGCAACCATAATGAAGTCATCCGTCAAATCCTCCACACCCACATCTGAAACATCTGTCTCTTGCCCTTCCGACGAAACTCTACCTTGGTTGATAAGCATATACCCTTCTACGGTTATGCTCTCTGTCAATTTTTCTGTGTCTGAAAGATCTCCTCCATGCCCTTGAGAAACTGTTGATCTACCAGCTTCATCAACAACCACCAAGTCCCCCCCTCTCATACTCTCTACCCAATCTTCCATTTCCATATCTGGAAGATACTGTCCTTCCCTCAATTCTTACTCTATTGTCCGAGCTTCTACATCTGGAACGTAGCTTGTTCGGATGGACTTCGTTATTTTTATTTTTTTTTTGTCTTTCAATTGCTCGGTAGGCTGCTTCTTTTATAACATCAAGGGGTCCTTTTCCACATATATTAAACCTGTGCCCTTTTTCTCCTGACAATTGATATTTGACCCTTGAAATTGAATTTTCTAAATTTGCACTTGACGCCACCTCCACCATTTGTCTTCGCAACATGATCCCAAAATTGATCACTGTTTTACCTTCTTCTTTTGTGGGCCCAATAGGCTATATAGAGTATAGACTATAGACAGCAAACCAGCATTCCTCCCTGAAAACTATGACTCACAGTGGAAGTTTTTCAATTTGGTTTTTTCAAAGAGGACAAACCTCTAAAAAAAAAGGTCCCCCAATAGAGGAGAGCGTTCGAAAAGATCTAAAAAAATCAATTGTTAGCACATGATTAAAAAAAGTTGAGGATGAGAAATCGAAACCTGTTTTCATGGTAATAGCATGGGGTAGACTCATCCTATGGACACCCAGGTTTTGGAAATTAATTAAACCAGCCCTTGTACTTTAACTTTGGACTTATCAACCCATAAATTTTTGATACAGGGTCACATATGAATTAAAAGTACAGGGCTTGATTTAATCAATTTCCAACCCTTCATGAAACTCAATGGACTTATTCTTATAAAATCTAGTATCACCTGGTTGATTGATCTAAGATTTAGGATTTTGACCCGGTTTTACAAAGTAAAAAACAAGAATTGCAAGTAACTTAGTGAAACTTAATTATTTTTTTCATAAACATATTGTTTTAAATTAAGGATAAAAATCTTGATTTTTTGAAACAAGCAGTCACCATGTAAAATATCAAATCCCCTCTTCCCGTTAGGTTCCAATATGCTTCTTTTTTTTTTCTTTTTCCCTCGTAATTTTGTCAAGTACAACTAGAAAAAAGAGTAGGATTAATTCGAGGAAATCCACAGCCTCCAATATTTCACTGGTTGCAAATGTTTTTCGATGTCTTTCATATTAACAAGAAGAATTTAAATACAACTAGAATAACAACTGACCGAATTATCAGCACTTAAAAATAACATAACTACTAATGTTGATATTCAGCTAACAACCTAAGTTGAAGACCTATTTTTAAGCTAAAATACTTGGTTGTAATTTAACAGATTAGAAACAAATCTTAACCTGATGCCACGTATAATTATTGGATTCAATATCAAACTCAACTGGACTCTAGACTTAACTAATTAAATAATAAGCAATAAATATTGGGGTCCTTATGCAGACCATAATCCAACACTGGTGACATGACATTGTGCACATAACATTTGCCCCCCTAAATGACCTTGTCCACAAGGTCTGGAAATTCATTGACTAAGATAGAATATTCCACCCAAGATGCTTCCTCTGTACCTAGTCCTTTCCATTTCACCAATACTTCGGTCATTGCATGATTTTTTTTCTTCTTCAATCGTCTGTGCAATATTTCTTCTGGTTCAGGCCGAATAATTCCATCCTTGTCTGTTGGTGGAAGAGTAACAACCAAATGTTGTCTTTCTCCCAACTCCTTCTTTAAGCAAGAAACATGAAACACCGGGTGTATTTTGGCTGCAAGAGGAAGCTCAAGTCGATAAGTAACAGTACCAATCTTCTCCAGCACTTGATATGGACCATAGAATCGTGGAGACAATTTCAAATTCCTTCTTTGCCCCACCGATTGCTGCTTGTACGGTTGTAATTGAAGGTAAACCAAATCTCCCACATTGAAGCTTCTCTCAGTCCTCTTAATATCTGCAAATTTTTTCATTCTATCTTGTGCCAACTGCAGATTCGCACGAAGAATACGGACGATTTCGTCTCTGGTCTTCAAGGTACTTTCTACTTCTTGAATTTGTGTGGTGCCTGTCGTATATGGAATTAACTTTGGGGCTGGGTAGCCATAGACAGATTCAAAAGGGGATAATTTGGTAGAAGTATGAATGTTGGTGTTGTACCACCACTCAGCCAACGGAAGCTATTTAACCCATCCTTTTGGCTTGTCTCCCGAGAAACACCTAAGATATTGCTCAACCATCTTGTTGACAATCTCTGTCTGGCCATCCGTTTGGGGATGGTAAGCTGATGAAAATTTCAAAGTGGTTCCCTGCAGTTTAAAAAGCTCCTTCCAAAATGTACTCGTAAAAGTAGGATCTCTATCAGTAACAATAGAATTAGGCAACCCATGTAATTTAAAAATATTGGCTAGGAACACCTGAGCAATCCTTGAGGCAGTGTACGGATGAGAAATAGGAATAAAATGAGCGTACTTAGACAACCGATCCACTACCACCATAATAACACTATAACCTTCAGAGTTTGGTAATCCCTCAATGAAATCAAGGGAAATATCAATCCATACCTTCGTAGGAATTGGTAATGGTTGCAGCAATCCAGCAGGGTGAATATTCTCAGACTTGTTCAACTGACATATATCACATTCCTTGATAAACCTTCTAACCTCCTTCCTCATTCCTTCCCAATAAAACTCAGATTTAGCTCTATGAAGAGTCTTGTGGAATCCTGAGTGTCCTCCTTGTGGGCTATTGTGCAACAAATAAAGAATTTGTTCTTTCAACTCCCTTGAGGTGGGGATGGACAATCTTCCTTTGTAAAATAATAGTCCATCCTGCTGTTTATAATTCTGGGATGCAAGATTGCCTTGTTCTAGCTTTTTAATAATCTGCTGCAATTTAGGATCTGTAGCATAATTGGTTCTAAGTTGTTCCAACCAAGTGTTTACTAGTGTAGTAATAGTAGATAGGTTCCCTTCCTTCGACTCTTTCATTTTTTGGGACAGGGCATCAGCAACCTTGTTTTTCTTCCCTGGTTTGTATTCTACCACAAACTTGGTGCAGTAATAGTAGATAGGTTCCCTTCCTTTGACTCTTTCATTTTTCGGGACAGGGCATCAGCAACCTTGTTTTCCTTCCCTGGTTTGTATTCTACCACAAACTCGTATCCCAAAAGTTTGGTAATCCATTTTTGCTGAAGAGGAGTACCCACCTTTTGTTCCTGCAAGTACTTGAGACTCTAGTGATCCGTCTGTATCTTAAAGTTGTGTCCTAAAAGATAAGACCTCCATTTCTTCACTGCTAAAACCAATGCCATTAGCTCCTTCTCATAGGTAGATAGTTGCAAGGCTTTTCCATGAATTGCTTGACTCATGTATGCTAATGGCCTGCCCTGTTGCATTAATACAGCTCCAACACCAATACCAGAAGCATCACATTGGATAGTAAAAGGAATAGAAAATTCTGGTAAAGCCAAGACTAGAGGACTAGTTACAGCATGTTTAAGATCTTGAAAGGCCCTTTTTGCTGATTCAGTCCATTGGAATGCATTCTTTTTTAAAAGAGCTGTTAAGGGGGCTGCTATAAGTCCATATCCTTTGATAAATTTCCTGTAATATCCAGTTAAACCTAGGAATCCTCTAAGAGATTTAAGGCTAGTAGGGAATGGCCAATTAAGCATTGCTTCAATTTTGGTAGGATCAGCTCATACCCCCTCTTTTGAGATTAGGTGACCAAGATACTCAATTTCAGCACATCCAAAACAACACTTAGATTTTTTTGCAAAAAGCTGGTGTTGTTTTAAAATGTCCAAAATAATTTGTAAATGATGAACATGGTCAGACATATTTTTACTATAAACAAGAATGTCGTAAAAAAAACTAATATAAACTTTCGTAAATAAGGTTTAAAGATGTAATTCATAAGACTTTGGAAGGTTGTTGGAGCATTGGTAAGCCCGAAAGGCATTACCAAGAATTCATAATGGCCTTCATGGGTACGGAAGGCTGTTTTAGGTATATCCTCTGGTTGAACCCTAATTTGGTGATATCCCGACCTTAGATCCAGCTTACTAAAGATGGTTGATCCATGAAGCTCATCAAGAAGTTCGTTAACTATAGGTATAGGAAATTTAACCTTAATGGTTTCTTTGTTAAGGGCTCTATAGTCAACACAAAGCCTCCAACTTCCATCATGTTTTCTTACCAATAAAACTGGGGATGAGAATGGACTTTGGCTAGGTCTAACAATACCAGATTGTAACATTTTATGAACTATTTTTTCAATTTCAGATTTTTGAAAGTAAAGGTATCTGTAAGGTCCTACACAAACTGGTTTTGCACCTGACTGTAATACAATATGGTGGTCATGATTTCGAGTAGGTGGTAATCCCTCAGGTTCTAAAAAAAGGGTATCTGTCTACACAAACTGGTTTTGCACCTGACTATAATACAATATGGTGGTCATGATTTCGATTAGGTGGTAATCCCTCAGGTTCTAAAAAAACTTCTGAATATCGGTTAAGAAGGTCAAATATTTGTGGCTCAACAGAAGTTTCAATAGACAGCAAACTGGAATTTTCAAAATCAATAAGCTGAATAACTAGTCCTCTTTTATTTTGCCTAGAAACTTTACCAAAATTTTCTCCTTCTACTAATGAGATACCAGTTGATGTCATACCTTGTAGTCTTCTAGGATTGTCCATGACTGAGAACTCCATTTGAAGTCGTGAGAAATCCCAAAGGATAGGTCCCAAGGTTCAAAGCCATTGAATACCCAAAACAATATCACATCCTCCCAAGGTCAAAATGTAAAAATCAATGGTATAGAGATTACCCTGTATGTGTAGAGGTACTGCTGCACAACTCCCTTCACTACGAATTGCTTGCCCATTAGCCACTTTGACAAAAAGCCTTTCTGTTGGATTAGATGGTAGATGAACCCTTTGAACAACAGATGGGTCCATGAAATTATGTGTACTTCCCGTATCAATCAGGATAACTACTGCTCTTCCATAAATGTGCCCCACAAACCTCATTGTTTTTGGGTTTGGTGATCCAGATAATGCATGGATGGATATTCCGGGTTCTAAATCCACTATAAGTGTTTCTTCCTTAGACTTGCCAGCATTCTCGTTTGCAACTTCAGATTTCGGCACCTCGTCATCACTTGATTCATCACACTCCATGATAAATAGTCTAGCTGACTTGCACTTATGCCCCTGAACCCATTTGTCATTACAATTATAACAAAGCCCTTTATCCCGTCGCTCTTTCATTTGGCTTAGTGATAACCTCTGTATTGGAACAATGGCCCTTTTTTCATGTGGGTTCGAAGGTCCAATAGCCAAATGAGTAGGAACAGACCCTAC